GTGCTGGCCTGATGCGGCATCGCAGAGCGTGGCGATGAACGGCCGTCTGGGCACTGCGTGGCGGCGTGAGGGGCAGGTGCCGGGGCCCAGCGGGGCAGGTCTGCCCACCTGTGGGGGACCTGACCACGGTACTTCATGGATTAATTCATGTCTTGACCCAATACGGTTTTTTGTGGTTGTTTAGAAACAACAGAGGTGTGTGGTTCTGAAGAGGGTTGTTTCTCCGAGTGAGGCAGAGCACTTCTGCCAGCTCTGACATGGAACTTGTGCGCCTGGGCTTCTCCTGCTCCCCGCTTGGGCCTCCGTCCTAGCACCCTGAAACCACCTGTGTGTCGTGAGGTGCCGGATGGTGGAGGGAGCCGGTGAGCATCAGGGGCTCAGAAGTGGGGAGCCAGCGCGGACATCGGAGGGGCCGCGCTGATGCCTCGTGTTAAGGGTGTCAGATGTGCCCCCCGTGAGAGGGGTTTTGAATCCAGCTCTGTCTCCTGCTCGCCTGCACCCTAGTTTGTAGTTTAATGAACCAGGCTCTCGGGCACCACCAGCCAGGGGGTACAGACGCCCAGCTCTGTAGCCACCGTCTGGCGAGACGCAAATCAGCCCAAGCCGCTCGGGATGGTCAAGAAAGTTACCGGGAATATTTTCTTCCCATGTACATGTGAACCCTTTGAATAGTTGAATAACTCAGATTTGAATACGGTTTAGGTGGGTCATAAAACCAAATTCACTGGGAGCTGGGAGGGGCGGGGAGGGAGGGAGGGCTCACAGCCAGCCGGCCCAGTGCGTGGGCTCGGCCTCTGGGGGCAGCTTGACCCCCACCTTCTCCTGTTGTAGGAAGAAGAAGCTATCCATGGCCAGCCCTCCAGGGACCTGGGCAAGGGACCCTCGTGGAATTCAGGCATTTGAGGTTTCTTTTCGTCATTTGTTTAATTAGGGGAAACTCATGCTTAGATTGAGCCCTTTTCATTTTTCAATAAAGGCTTTATGCTGTTTCTTTGCTTCATTGAATGAGGTTTTATTGCAATGCTTTAGTTTCAGTGAAGGCCCCCGGTGCCCCGGGCATGTGCAGCCTGGCGGCACGCACTTCCTGCTCTGGCTGCCCGAGTCTCCTCCTCTTCCTCACTTCCCCTCACTTCCACTCAGTCAGGGCCTTCTCCCACAGTCCCAGAGGACCTGCAGCAGAGACCCGTCAGGCCCTCTCCTTCCTTGCCCGTTCCATCAAGAACCTTCCAGTGATGGGCTGTAGCACCCCATGGGGCCCAGCTCTGGGCTCCGTCACTGCCGGGAGCCCAGTTCAGGGCTGTCCTGTGGGAGGGTGCGGGGAGGCCCCAAGACTTGCTCTGTTAATTACTAGGGGTTTAAACAGCGCTTCAGAATTACCTTCCTCTCAGCACACGGTAGCTCAACTGTGGGATCAGCTGTGTCTTCGAAACAAATATTCTTTTCATTGGGAACAGGAAGCGTAGGAATCTGGACATTCATCAGCTGCAGTTAAGCCTGCTTCCAGGTCTGGGCAGTGAGGGGAAGTGTGTGGAGCAGGTGGGCCTGGAGAGCCAGCAGGAGGCCACGGATGCCTCCGGGAGGAAGTCGGGCCGTGGGAGCGAGGCTGGGCCCTGTGATGGGACCCACCGCCCTGGTGTCCCTCAGCTCACTGGTTGTGCTATTGGCTCTCCTGGAGCTGGTGACTGGTCTGAGACGAATGCTCGTTCCCAGTGCAATGTGGCGTTTCTGCTCCAACAGAAGAAATGGCTTCTAGACACGTTAGCGGGGCCAGCACTAAGTGTCTGTAACGTGGGCAGCTGGAAGGAAGCATTTTTGGCTGAAGTACGGCTTTCAGACAGCGTTTGGTGACAATGCAGAATAGCAAACAGGTGGCCGTGTGGCACCCCGACCGGAACTCCAGGAGCCACAGGCCTGCACTTGGCAAATGCCCCTTGCGGGGCCCTACCCTGCCTGCCTTCCGTCCGCCTGTGTCCCTGCACTTCCCAGGAGACCCTAGTATAGGGCTGAGCGTTCTGCTTAGCTCTCAGTCCTCGGTGCCTATGTGGGGGGTTACCCACACCTAGCTGCAGGGCCTCCCATGGCTCCGAGGGCCTCCCGCAGCGCTGGGCACTGGGCTAATGGCAGGACTGGCCTGGCACGGGCACTTGGATGTGTGGGGCACCGGGCACAGGAGAACCTGCCGTGTGGCCAGTTGTCCAGTGGGTCTGATGCAGCTGGCTCAGGGTTTACATAGGACACAGAGGAGCCACTGTGATGCCCAGGCGGAGCTCTCAGAGGACTGCAGCTTGCCCGACCAGAGCCCCTCGGGTCACCAGCAGGTCCGAGGCCTTCGAGCTTCCTCGCAAGCCTCACCTTCTCCAGGAAGCCCCTCTCCAGGCTCATCTTTACAGGGACACTCATCTGAGCTCATTTGGCCTGAAGTGTCCCGTGAGTGTGGAGCCTGGGGGCAAGGTAGATACAGTGGACATGGGGGCATCATCCCCAGAGTGGGCATCTCAGGCTGGGGCATACCCCGGGGAAGCTGTGTGTGTCCTTACCAGAGGCCCGGCTGGATGCTGGCATTGGCATCAGGATACCTGGCTCCAGCTCCACCCCCCGTTTCCACCAGTGACTCTGGGGAAAGAAAAGCCTCCTAAATTTGTTTATTTATTCCTGTATTGCCCAGGCTGGAATGCAGTGGCGTGATCTCAGCTCACTGCAACCTCTGGCTCCCAGGCTCAAGCAATTCTCCTGCCTCAGCCTCCAGAGTAACTGGCACTGCAGGCACATGCCACCACACCCGGCTAATTTTTGATATTTTTTTAGAGACGAGGTTTCGCCCTGTCGCCCAGGCTGGTCTCGAACTCCTGACCTCAGGTGATCTGCCTGCCTCAGCCTCCCAAAGTTCTGGGATTGTAGGTGTGAGCCACCATGCCTGGCCACTTCCCTGATTGACTATTTCTGCCCTCTCTCTCTCCGGTGTGCAGGAGGAGACTGTATGGCTCCCGTCTCCTTGAGGGAATTTCTTTATGATGGGGAGTGCGGGACTTGGGCCTGGCCAGCACCATCCCCAAGGCGCTCAGTCTCAGCTAAGGGTGCAGACGTCCTGAGCAGGGCTAGGCTCGCACCCCGAGAGCATCTGTGCACTTGTGCAGTGTGGCCCTGTCGCAGCTTGTTTCTTTCTCTCTGCCATGGCTCTGCCCCCCGAGTGTCTGGAATTTCCAGAAGGCAGCTGTGACCCCTGGGGTCGGGGCCACGTTGTGTCCTCTTACAGGCTGCCGTGCCATGTTTCCCACCTCCCTGGCTGTGACAGCGATATCTGTTAGTAAATACGCTGGGGTTTGAGTTGGTGTTTTGAGACCCCAGGTTTTCCTGGCGTTTATCCTTAGCGGAAAGTCAGCAGTGTCCTTGAATAAAGTACCTTCAAGCCCGTGAACTTACACCGGGAGATGGATATAGAATTTCCACGTGCTTCTCTGTATTATTTAGAGGCCTGGGAATACTCATCTCTAGGCATGAATCTTAAGGCTCCAAGGTGTTATAAAAAGTCTTTTTCAATCAGAAATCCAGAAGCATGTCTTACCTGTTAAAATTAGGAATTTCCCTTATAATGATTTTAAAAAATATTTTATTGAGTGTAATTAACACATAATGATTCTTAGATCTAGCTGTGTACTAGAACCTTCTGTTTGGTTTTAAAAGATGGATTCCTAGGCCATGAGACAGTATGAGGATCTCCATGAGCAGGATTTCAGAGTCTGTATTTTCATTCATTCCTTGAGATGTTTTCTATGTAGCTGGTGATTAGGGCACCTTGACAGGAACAAGCCTATTAAAATTTCTTTACATATCTAGGTCCTTACATCTAAAACAATCCTTCTCTCCATCCATCCGTCATCCATCCATCTGTCCATCTACCCATCATCAAACCATCCATCATTCCTTCACCTCTGTTCATCGTCCATCTATCCATTATCCATCCACCCATCATCCCTCTGTCCCCATCCATCATCTTATTCATTCATTATCCATCTGTTTATCCATCATCCATCATCCTCTCTTCATCATCCATCCATCGTTCATCTGTCAACCGTCCATCCCCTATCCATTTCCATCCATCCATCTGTCCATCATCCATCCATGATCCAGCATCATCCATCATCTGCCCTCCCATTATCTATCCTTTACCCATCTGCCCATCCATCCATCCATTATTCCTCCATTCCCCATCCATCTATCCACCCATTCATCTGTCCATCCATTCATTCATTCATCCACCATTTATTATGCCTCCATCCATCCATCCACCCATCCATAATCCATCTATTCACCCCTCATTCCTGCCTTGTTCATCCATCCGCCTACCCTCCATCGACCCTTCACCCCTGATCCATCATTATCCATCCTCTCTTTACCTGTCCGTCCACCTTCCATCCTCCACCACCCAGCAGCCATCCATCCATTAAACAAAAGGAACACATTTTAGGATGCGCCAGGCACAGTCTTTGGCTCTAAAGCCAGCGGTGAGCCAGGGTAGAGTAAGGCCGTCCAAATGCTCTGCCTGTGGAACTGAGGTTTCTGTTGTCAAGAGTGTGAGGTGAACGGGTGAAAACGTGAGATTGTGACACACATCAGAGAAAACGTCAGCTGGAGGACGGCCCGAGTGTTGAGTTCGGGTGTTACATGAAGAGGGTGGTTGCAGAGTGGAGAAGACCATGAGGACCCGGCCGCGTCTCTCTGGGAGGGACATTCGGAGGCCCTGCTGCTGTGGGAGAGGAGGGGAGGTGAGCAGCGAGGGCTCAGGGGACTTGTTGGCCAGTTGGGCCCGGGGCTGTCACTCACACTCGCCTGGAGCCGTCGGGCAGTGGGGTCTCAGAGACGTTTGCCGGCCCGCTCCTTGGGGGCCGAGGCTCCCCGGCCGTTGGCTGAGGCCTGGGGCTGCCGGCTGGCCCTGAGTCCGTGGGTTTCTGCTTTGCGATGCCCAGCCCCTCATGCCACCATCTGCTTCTTTTTCTCTCTAGAACACTATGGCTACGCGCCCTCCAGCGTCGGCCCTGCACTGCGGCTGCCCACAACACACTCCTCCCTGCCGGCCCCGTGCCATGACCTTCAGACCTCCACCCCGGGCCTCGTCCTGCCGGTGGAACACCCCGCGGGGTACGGGGCAGCCCTGGATGGTGGGCCTGCGGGCTACTTCCTGTCGTCCGGCCACGTGAGGCCGAACGGGGCCCCCGCCCTGGAGAGCCCGCGCATCGAGATCACCTCGTACCTGGGTCTGCACCACAGCAACAACCAGTTTCTCCAGGACACGGAGGTGGAAGACGTCCTCCCCAGCTCCAAGCGCTCCCCGTCCACAGCCACGCTGAGCCTGCCCGGCCTGGAGGCCTACAGGGACCCCTCCTGCCTGAGCCCAGCCAGCAGCTTGTCCTCCCGCAGCTGCACCTCCGAGGCCTCCTCCTATGAGTCCAGCTACTCGTACCCGTATGCGTCACCCCAGACGTCGCCGTGGCAGTCTCCCTGCGTGTCCCCAAAGACCACGGACGCTGAGGAGGGCTTTCCCCGCGGGCTGGGGGCCTGCATGCTGCTGGGCTCCCCGCGGCACTCACCCTCCACCTCCCCGCGTGCCAGTGTCACCGAGGAGAGCTGGCTGGGCGCCCGCTCCTCCAGGCCCGCGTCGCCCGGCAACAAGAGGAAGTACAGCCTCAACGGCCGGCAGCCACCATGCTCGCCCCAGCGCTCGCCCACGCCGTCCCCACACGGCTCCCCGCGGGTCAGCGTGACCGACGACTCGTGGCTGGGCAACAGCACCCAGTACACCAGCTCGGCCATCGTGGCCGCCATCAACGCGCTGACCACTGACAGCAGCCTGGACCTGGGCGACGGCGTCCCCGTCAAGTCCCGCAAGACCACCCTGGAGCAGCCGCCCTCGGTGGCGCTCAAGGTGGAGCCCGTCGGGGAGGACCTGGGCAGCCCCCCGCCCCCGGCCGACTTCGCGCCTGAAGACTTCTCTTTCCAGCACGTCAGGAAGGGCGGCTTCTGCGACCAGTACCTGGCAGTGCCGCAGCACCCATACCAGTGGGCAAAGCCGAAGCCCCTGTCCCCCACACCCTACATGAGGTGAGCCGGTGGCCGGGCCGGGCGTCGTGTCTGGGGGCCGTGACTCGGGGCCGGGGGGTAGGTGGTCCTCCTGGAGCTGGGAGGGAGGGTCTGCCCGTGTCTGCCTCCCCTTCCTGTGGCCTGAGACTGGGGGTCTGGGGGACAGGTGGTCCTCCTGGAGCTGGGAGGGAGGGTCTGCCCATGTCTGCCTCCTGCTCCTGTGACCTGAGACTCAGGACCTGGGGGCAGGTGGTCCTCCTGGAGCTGGGAGGGAGGGTCTGCCCATGTCTGCCTCCCGTTCCCGCGGCCATCTCCCCGTGAGCCTCGCCCCATCTGCATGTTTCCATCCGTACAGTCTCCCATCCTCTCGGATCAGGCCCTGCTGATGGCCTCATGTTGCTCAGTCTCTGCCAAGACCCATTTCAAATAGAGTGGCCCTGCTGGCAGTCAGGGCTTCCACGTGGGAATTCCGGGAGCTGCCATCTGCCCCTAAGGAGGACTCACACACGGTTTCTTCCTCAGGGAATCCACTGTGGGTGCCCCCTCCCCCACCTCCTCCCCCTCTCCCCCAGTAATTGCCATCCCTGGCTCCGGTGCAGATGGGGCCCCAGAGCACCCAGCCCGCCGCGCTTCAGAACAGCAGGACTGCCTGCTCCCCGGAGATGCCAGCCTTTGGTGGGTCTCGGCTGTTGGTTTTCTTTCAGTGTGAGGGGCTGCTGGGACACCCTCCGCCGGGTCCACGTCACCAGCCCGGTGTTTTTATCTTTAATGAAACAGCTTTCCCAGCAGGTGGGCTGCGAGTGACCCCCGAGAGTGATTTCTGCCCTGGGATTTTTATCTGAGGCATGGAAACGTCCGCGCAGGCGGCCAGGGGCAGCACCCTGTGGCCTATGACGTCAGGGCTGCCGCTGTGTCCTCAGGAAGAGGCGTTTGCCACGCGCAGCCCGGGGCATTCCAGGCTGGGCGTTTTCCTGTTTTTTTTTTCATTCCTCCCCACCCCCAACTCCTTTTTTATTAGCGAGCAATCGGGAGGTGAGTCCAGGCAGTGGAGAGGGCAGGTGCAGCTCCCAGTTCTGCAGGGTGAGGAAGGCAGGCCTGAGGGTGCTCCTTCAGCTCTGCAGGGTGAGGAAGGCAGGCCTGAGGGTGCTCCCCCAGTTCTGCAGGGTGAGGAAGGCAGGCCTGAGGGTGCTCCCCCAGTTCTGCAGGGTGAGGAAAGCAGGCCTGAGGGTGCTCCCCCAGCTCTGCAGGGTGAGGAAGGCAGGCCTGAGGGTGCTCCCCCAGTTCTGTAGGGTGAGGAAGGCAGGCCTGAGGGTGCTCCCCCAGTTCTGTAGGGTGAGGAAGGCAGGCCTGAGGGTGCTCCCCCAGCTCTGCAGGGTGAGGAAGGCAGGCCTGAGGGTGCTCCCCCAGCTCTGCAGGGTGAGGAAGGCAGGCCTGAGGGTGCTCCCCCAGCTCTGCAGGGTGAGGAAGGCAGGCCTGAGGGTGCTCCCCCAGTTCTGCAGGGTGAGGAAGGCAGGCCTGAGGATGCTCCCCCAGTTCTGTAGGGTGAGGAAGGCAGGCCTGAGGGTGCTCCCCCAGCTCTGCAGGGTGAGGAAGGCAGGCCTGAGGGTGCTCCCCCAGCTCTGCAGGGTGAGGAAGGCAGGCCTGAGGGTGCTCCCCCAGCTCTGTAGGGTGAGGAAGGCAGGCCTGAGGGTGCTCCCCCAGCTCTGCAGGGTGAGGAAGGCAGGCCTGAGGGTGTTCCCCTAATTCTGCAGGGTGAGGAAGGCAGGTCTGAGGGTGCTCCGGGAGGAACGGTCCCTGCTCTAGCCCAGCTGGAGCACTCCTGGAAGAGTCAGAGCAGCAAGCAGGTAGCGCAGCTCCAGGCTGGGAAGAACCCAGCTAACCCTCTGTGAAGGCTTGTGGCAAGAGAACAGTGTGAGGCCAATGCTGCCTTTCCACGGCCATGGCGCTAAGAATCGCCATCAGCTGGGCTTTCGGGAAAAGCAAAGGTGACCACGGGTTTGCCATGACCTGCAGTGGGCACATTGACCTTTCCATCCCAACTTCTGCTTTGAATGCTCTCAGGTTTAAAAGGCTGGCATATTCCTAGGTTATCATCAGAACAAGCCTATGTCGGGACCTGGATTTAATTTAAAAATTCCATCCAGTTGGAGGCACTGGGAAAATTTAAGACCTGTTTTTGCCTCTGTTCTATCACTGTAACTGTTTAAAAGTGCCATGGCGTGGACTCTCCAGCAGCCACACACATGGCACCTCACGGCCTCCGAGCTTGGGGACAGCGACAAGCTTGTCCAGCACCACGGAGCTCGACAGAACTTTGGAGAAAAGGGAAGGGGACGTCATGGAGGTGTAACTGGGACTCGGCGTGAGGCAGGTCTTAGCATGGTTGTGAACCTCTGGGTGGAGCCTGGGGCCGCCCTGACGCGGTCCTGCAGACGCGTGGCCTTCGCCGCGGATTTTCTCTCAGGGTCCTGAGACGGGAAGCCGAGACCCAGGGCTGATCTTTCGGAGGCCCTGAGGGAGCATCCGCCGGCCCCTCTCCCTGGCTTGGAGATGCCGGCTTCTTCCCACGACTGCTCACCTCGCCGTCCCCATGCGTGTCTGTGTCCAGATGTCTCCTTTTCTGAGGACACTGGTCCTGCTGGGTTGGCCACCCTGATGACCTCGACTGCTCTGTAAAGGCCTCTCTCCACACAGCCTCGGTGGGCAGCACTCCATCGAGGGAGTTTGCGGGGGCCCCGTTCAGCCCTAATCCCCTGTAGGCAGCCTTTGAAACACAGGCCCATCCCGGTTCCTTCTCGGTCTCCTGGGAGGCAAGATGTCCTCGGGGACGCTGTGCTCTGGCGGCTGCAGCCCCTGCTGCCATCTCCGGCCTGCATTTGGTGCGGAGGTTGGAGAGCTCAGGTGCCTGGGAGTTTCAGCAAGGACTGCGCAGCCACGTGACCCACTTAGCTTTATCTCCGGGCTGCAGCAGCCCCGTTAGGTGTGGTGGCCGAAACGTTCCTGAGCGTTAACACAAACAAAACTCGGCCAGTGAGTCCCAGACTCGCCTCCAGGGTTTGCGGCTCCCCTTTTCTCACTGTTCTGTTCCACGTCAGAATATGTTTCCAGCGACCTCGTCAGCGGTGCCCCAGGCAGCTGGAAGCCACGGCACAGATGAAATGTTAAGTTTCTTGCCGGGGAGGTGTAGGGGCCCAACTTCCTTCCCCAGGAACGCCCCTCCCTGGTCACACACCAGGCTCTGGGGCCGTGCAGCTGGAAAGCTGTATTTTTTATTATCTCCAGAGCTTGGGGTGGAGAATGTGTAATGTGCCCATTGTCCCCCTGCTGTGGGGCAGAACCTGCTCCATGAGTCGTGTCCTGATGCCAGAGGGAGCTGGTTAGTGAAGCGTGCCATGCGCGTCCTTTCCCGAGGGCCTTCGGGGTTCTGGACTGTTGCCCTTTGGGGCGTCTGTGGCTTGTTCAGCATCTGTGGCTCCGGTCCTGTGTAGGGTCCTCTGATAGGCCCACGATGGTCAAAGCACGATACTGAATTCCTGCTGTAACTGAAGGAATGAGAACGTTTGCGAAGGTAGTAGGAGTGGGTGATGGAACCTTGACGGTTTCAGCATCTGGAGCTGTTTCAGAGTTCAGTGGAGTGATGTGTCTATTGTCAAAACTTGGGGGGACAGGCACAGGAACCACAGGCTGTTGCCAGACCCCTAAAAATCAGAATGTTAAGCTGTGCACTCTGGCATCAGAAAGGAGTAGGCTTTCTTCCCGCCTGGCTTCTTTCCGGGGGTAATGGTGGCGATCCTAGCAGGTGACCTCCCAGGCACCTCTCTGTGTGCGGCCGAGGGTGCGAGGAGACGCTGCTGGGCCGCGTCTGGAGGAGGCCAGGGCGAGAGTGTGCGTCCAGCGCTGTGTGGGTTCTTTGTGAATCGTGCTTCTCAGATGGTGGCTTTTGAAGATTCCACGTTGACCACAGGAGCTGAAGCCTGCACGGCTGCCTCCTTACGTTGCTCCTCCGCCGTCTGGCCGCCTCGCCACGTGCGTCCCTGTCCAGGTTGGTCTGTGCCGGCATCTGCTCTTCCTTCGGCATTGGCCTCTGGAGAGCTCCGAAGCCATCTGCACGTCTCTCTGCATCCAGTCTCTGAGGCTGCCTTTATAGAGGCAAAAGGTTGTAGGGAATTGAGACTTAAAAAGAAACTACTTGTGGAAAGGCAGTTCAGTTCATTTTAACGGAACCTGTGTGCAACTTTTAATGGCACAAATTCAGTTTCTCCACCTGAAACATTACTTTTTAGATTGAATGGTTTAGAAGTTAAATTTCTAGGGGGCGCGATCAGCTGATGAACAGGGTTTCCTTAGAGCCTGCTTGTTTTCGACGATGGGAGTAGCTGAGGTTGATGCCGTGACGTCTGTTCAAACCTCTTTATCTCAGATGTCGTTTCTGTTAGGCTTTGGGCTGCAGTCACTTTTCTGCTATGCCTCGTATTAGTTTGGAAAGGTCTGAGGAAACCGCCCTTGCGTTTCGTAAGGCATCTTCAGCCTCAGCGTTGAGTGGAATCTGTAATAATCCCGCAGGAGATGAGGACCCTGCCAGGCTCAGCAGCCCTGTCCACTGTGTTGGAATTCCCTTTGCTCTTGTGGCTCTGGCGTTGGGGGGTTCGGGCTTGGCAGGTGTGGGGGATGGTGCAGGCTTTCCAGGGCTCCCAGACCCTGTAGTGGGGGCCGTCTGGGCTCTTGCGCCGGACTATCCAGACCTCCGTGTCCCTGGACGCTGGTGGGCCCTGTGGGGTGAGAGACACAGTCTCTAAAGCGTTATGCTGAGCCCTGGCGTAGCAGAACATGTAAGGCGGTGGCTGTGGGACCTTCCCGAGCGTCCCGCTGCTGTCACCTCCTGGGAAGATGGTTAGCTAAGAAACCGAAGGTGTGGGGTTACCCCGTGGTTTGTAAAACGCTGGCACGGGCTGGAACAGCTCACGACCAACTTCCACTGTGTCTCCCTGTAAAGCTCTTCTGTTTCCAGGGAGGGAAGCCAC